ATACTTTTGGGTCAGGTCAGCAGAAGCTTTTATTCAAATGAAACTACAGCTGTAGGGGGGACTCCAAAGTGACATGGATTTCCCAAGCACTTGAAAGGGGTTCCCCCCACAAGAGCAAAATCAGGAGGCTTATATACTTTTTAACAGTTGCTTACAACTCACGTGATCATATAGCGGAGTTTGCTAGGAAAACAGCTACAAACACTACCTCATTACTTCTTTGCTGTTATCAGGATGGGAACCATGGTGGAGATGAGCTTAGTTCACAAAGTGAAAAATGGGGGAGAACACTCCCTTCTTGCACCTGGAAATCAGAGTTGTATATACTTTTTTTTTCCTGCTATCTTCAAGGCCGTGGTGAGCGAAGCAGTTGCAGAGGAGTTACAAAGAACAAACACTTTCCCTTATCTGTTCTACTATACAGAGCCAGCAATTCCCCACAAAGCGGTTATGTCATCTTATAACTCGTATGATCAAAGTTTAAGGCATTTATTTTTTTTCTGATTCCACACCATCTTCCCTCTTTCCACACCTGCATTTTTACCAGCTATTGTTTTCTTCTATCTTCTTCCCAGGTTGCTTTGGTCCCTTAGCCCTTTCTCCTTCAATTCTCTGCTTCTCCCTTTATGCTGATTTCTTTTCATCTCTCCATCTTAGGTCTTCTGAAGCTCTGACATTCCACTCTTTCTTCCTTTACTTGTTCTCCTCCATCTCCCAGTCTCCCAAGTGTTCTACTTCTTCCATCAGCTCTCTGCTTCTTTATATTTCCAAAGTAGAAGCTTCTACTCCCATCCCTAAAAGTTTCTCAGCTGATTCATCCATAGCTTCAACACTCCTGGTCTTTCTCCCCCTGGAAAAAGTACCACCAGAGAAAGTAAAGCACTTATCACTCACAAAATCAAAACTCATTTTTGAACTACTGACAATAATAGGAAGTCTAACCACTCAGTGTGCACTTTCCCCCTCTAGCTCCCTAAAGCAAGAAGAGCAATCATCAAGAGCCAGCAACAGATGTACACAAACAGTACTACCCACTCACTTTATGCTCAGGAGAAAATGCTACAACTCCTCATTGTGGTTAGCAAGACCGAACACTCATGGACACATTTCTCTAGTCACCAACTACAGAAAAGATCACTGAAATAACAGTCTCAACTCTACCTCCAGCTGGCCCCGGGCCAGCCCGACCACATGCACACCCAGGGCACCATGACCCAACACCACCCCACCAAGGACCAGCCCCTGTCACGTGCCTGCACCCACAGGACTGCCACAGTCCCACCCAACTGCCACCTAACCATGTGCCCGCAACTGCTGCCACCATATGCCACTGGCACAGCTTTCCCAGACACCCTGCTCCCTAATTAATGTACAGCCATCCTGCCAGCCAACCGGGACCTTGCCTATGCTTCTGGGAGCCTTGCCTGGGGATCTCATTGGCTCCCTGGCTGCTGGTATCTGGCAGTGGCACAGCCCTCACCCAGCAGTGCCACACAGCCCAGTGCCTTGGACCTTAGAACGCCTACAGACAGCAAAGACTCTTTCATGTCTTTGGTTCCTTCATGGAGGAGACCTGCTCAGCTAGGTCCCTCCTCCCGGTAGAATGGGTACAGGCTGCATAGAAGAAAAGGAAACAAATGGGGTGTCCAGGGTTTTCCTGGATTTGATGGGAACTACTTTTTAATTTTTTGATTTGCAAAAACAGATATTCTGGTGTCCAGAAATAAATCTACAGAGATCCCGGTGACAAAAAACTTGCACCTCAAAAGGCAGGACAGTGCACGTGACCACTGGAAAGCAGAGCCTGGTTGGCCAGAGCCATGCTCTGGCTGCTGGCCAAAATACATGCTGCCAGATTGCTGTGGCTGCAGTCCCCAGAGGCCCCCGGTGCCTGGGCGAAGGCTGGTGGGGCCAGCCCCGGGGGGCGGTATGCATGTGATGCCCCTGCCTCCAATCACTCTCCCGTGCTCGCCCCAATAGAACAGACCCAAATCCTGGAAGTTTGTTCAGATGTTAAAAAACCGCCTGGAAGGAGCTGGGAGGACTCTTAACGAGGACATGTTTGGGAAATCCTGGACGTGTGGTAACCCATGCCTGCAGGTAATTTCTAGCAGAGGGAAACATGGGGGAAGGTGAAGACATTTGTCCCTGGGGCCCACAAGGAGGATTTGGAACCACTCTGGGGCAATAGGCCTGGGAGATGCCAGCACACTGACAGGGCACCTTGGAGCAGGACTGCAAGCACGGGGAGCCTGGTTGGATCTGGTCTTCACCTCTCTCCCTCCTTCCAAGATGGAGCAAGGCAGCCAGGGTGGCTGGATGAAAAGCAGAATGGCTGAAGGAACTGTGCTGTATGAGTGAGGCTTTTCAGTGGCAGTTGAAGAGGAGAAGGCCCAGGGAACATCTAGCTCAGCACATGCAAGCAGAACCTTAGAGCCTTGGCACATGTTCCCTGAAAAACATCATAAAGGCATGTAAAAGCAGAGCAGTCATTAGTTAAGGGGTGTTAAGCTGCCATAAGTACCCTCTGATTGTTTAAAAGATTCACCACTCCAGCTGAGGGCTTTGGCCCTGGTGTCCCATGTAACATCAGAGGTCTGTGCAATACTGTGATATCTGAGTCTGTGGTATGGTGCTATGTCATATAATGGCAGCATTTCTAGAGCAGTCTCAGGAGACGGCATCGTGTCCTTTTGCACTTGCGTGACTGTGACTTACCCCTAGCAGCCTGGTGAGCAAGGATGTGGCCAGGAACCAGGACTCTAGTCCACTTCTGTAGTATTACAACAAGTAAGTATCCTCTGACGTATCGTCACAGGACTTCAGGTACTTCTAAATCCATTAGCAAGCATCCTACATGCAGGCCCAAGCCCAGCAATTTTGGGTTCGGCTGACCCTGCAAACAGACATGCTCATCCCATGCTCTTTAGTACAAGACTTCAATAATGTTTTTTCTGAACAAAAGAATCTATTATTAAACAGCAAATAACAAAAAGTAACCACTCAGCCTGTACTCTCTTCCTTCAGCTCCCTAAAAGAAGCTGAACAGTCATCAAGAGTAAGCAACAGCTGTATGCAAACAGCACTGCTTACCAATTTCACACTCAGAAGAGAACATTATGATTCTTCATTGTGGCTAGCAAGACCAATCACTATTACACACCCCTCTCCAGGAATCAACTATAGAAATAATCCCTGAAAGTACAACCTTAATACCAATCCTGCCGGCCCCAGCCCAGCCTAGCCGCACATGCACACAGGGCACCATGACACGGCACTGCCCTGACAAGCACCGGCTCCTGCTGGGTGCCTGCACCCCCCAGCACTACCACAGCCCTGCTCAGCTGCCATTTCACTGCATGCCCACAGCCCACCCTGACCATGACCCTGACCCTGACCCTGACCAAGCCTGGCAAGGTGGGAACTGTGTCTCTGGCTCCTGCCGGCACCCAGCAGTAACACAGCCTGCACCTAGCAGTACCATGGTGGAGCAGCACCTTTGAGCTGAGAGTGATGGGGGAAACACTTACATGTTCCTCTGCCCGCCTGTTGATAGGTGGGGTGATTGCCATAGTCCCAGTCTCTCTTTGGTCTTGGCTTCCATCTTAACTCATGCTGTTTGTCCTGTCAGCTCTGAGTGAAAATCCACCCTGAGGATCTTTAGGGGGAGCGGGCAGTCCGGTCTAATGCCCAACCATCACTACAGCTGAGGATTTTGGCCTTGGTGACCCGTGCAACATCAGAGGTCTGTGGAAGGCCATGATGTTGTAAGTCTGCGGTATGGTGTGATGTCATAAAATGGTGGTATATTTACAGCAGTCTTGGGTGGAAACATCTTGTCATTTTGGACTTGTATGACTGTGACTTATCCCTTGCAGGCTGGTGACTAAGGGGGTGGGCAGGAGCCAAGACTCTAGTCCTCCCCTGTGGTGGGAGAGGAGCAGGAAGGAGACATGTAGCCTGGAGGAGGAGGAGAACCAGGTGGAACCTGTGGCTTCCCTCCCTTCACAGCCAGCAGGACCCCACCAGGGTGGAGAAGGGGGGAGAAGGAAAAATCATGTGAACAATTAATTGATGTGAGCTGGGGGGGTGAAGAGAAAGGAGTGAAATAAAGGGTTTTTAAAAGTACTACTAATGAAGGAGTCTTTAGAGTCTTGCTTATGTCTCAGTGATTTGGGATTGGGTCAGAGAAAGAGGTTCTGGAGGCTGGGTTTAGAGGCAGCAGGGGTCATGCTGGCTGGTATGAGGGAGCTGTCTTGGGGCCTGAGAACTGGAGGAGGGGAAGAAGAGCCAGGGCAGAAGGCTGAGAACCAATGTGTTTGCTGCATAGCACAGAACACACAGGAGGCTAACACTGAGAACCAGCACACTCACTGCATGGAACAGAGCACAGAGCAGGGCAGAGCTGAGAAATGGGGTTTGCAGGGCCAAGGGCACTGAGGCACAAGGAACTGGCTGGCTGGTAGAAGCGGGAGGGGGTTTGGGGAGGGGGGTTAGTGCTGCGATTAACAGCTGACATGGCTGTTCCCACTGGGCATGAAGACCACTAGAGATCTGGAGGGTGGGAAAAAGTAGAGGGGCTGAGGCCTGCATGTCTTGGGATGCTGGAGAAATGGAAGTAAAGTGCCTTTGTGGTTGCTTCCCACAGAATCCATGCAACAGCCAGGATTGACCTGGACAGAAAGAATCAATGATGAAGTTCCCCGTGTATGGAAAGGGCAAAAAAGCACTTGATACAGTGTTAGTTTTGGAATAGCAAAAATAGTAATTTTAAGATCAGAAAAGCTAGGAAGGTGAAGAACAGTTAAGATGCATTTATTGAAACGGGAATCAGAGTGGTGTCACTGTCCATGAGTGGTTTGGACGAATGAACCATATTGGTCATGAGACCAATTTGTAGAGGTATAGGTATAAATATTTATTTATATTGATGTAATCTTTTTATGTAATCTTTTTTATGATATATCTAGCTTTTGCAAACTATATCTAACTGAATACTTAAGGCAACTTACTGGTGCTGGGAGGGGTGTGGTACGTGTGTGTTAAGAGATGCTTGCAGAGCACAGCATGTGGGATGCGGAGGATTCATGGAATGCCTCCCTAACACCAGCAGGATAATGTCTCCCTGACATCTATAAGATAGCAAGAAGTTCAGAAAAAGGTCTCTCATTATAATGCTAAAAATCACACCCCTGGGCAGAGCAAAAGTATGTTAATGAAACATATATGTATGCAAATAAAATACATGGCTAAAACATAGGTATAGAGACATGCTCAGTAGAGAATGTCTTATGTCAGTGGCTTGTAACCAATCACTGAGCGATACACTTGCAAACATGTATAAAAGGTACCCAAAGGTAGAAACCGGTGTGCTTGTTTTGCGAACGATCGCCAAGCACCCCTCTCTGCGCAGACTTGAAACAATAAAGATTAAGTTGGATCCTCCACCCCTGTGTGTTCATTGGCAAGAGCGCACCGGGCACGAACTCACACCGTCCGTTGGGGACAACAATATAGAAATAAATAGTTTTGCAACCCCCCCCAACAAAACCAAAGTGCTGCAGCTAACTGTGAGCGCCTCCATGTGCCTGCGGTTCCCAGCTGCCAGTCTCAGGGTCTACATATTGCAGGCCTCTCACAGGAGATGCCTGTGCAGCTGCTGGGCTTTGCTTGGCCACAAACACAGGTCTGGTGCTGCTTGGAGCAAGGAGGGAGCTGGTTACCAGAGAGGAGCTCTGAGAGCAGGGCCAGAGGTGGGGAAGGCAGCCTGGGAGCCTGCAAGAACCTGGAGAATGAGGGTGCAGATGCAGGGAGCAGCTGGAGGGGGGGCACTGCCACCTTACAGTGCCAGACCCCACTGGGCCCTGGAGGTCACTCCCAAGGCATGTCCCTGGCAAAGCGGAGGCTGTGGCTGGGCAGTGCCTCTGGAGCGACTGCTAAATGGGCAGAGCTGTTAGGGCTCAGCAGCACCACTGTTGACACTGCCACAGGCTAGGCCTGCCCTGTGTGGCCACTACTGCCCCCTGTGCTGGGCCAGCCCACGTGGGGCAGCCCCCCACCAGGAGTAGAGGGGCTGGGCTCCCTCCTCCCAGCTTCTTCCAGCCGCCCTGCAGCTCTAGGTGGCTCAGGCCTGCAGGAAGGGGGCGGGGCTGA